TGTGTCACATTTAGCATTACCTCACCTCCATTAGCTAATGCTTGGCTGAATATAAATTATTCTGAGGATGGTGATCTCATCTTGAAGGAAAAAAAATGATCCCTCAAGGGAAACATCTAATGCTCTAAATGATAACAGAAGTCTATGTTCTTAGAACATTTTCATTTGACAAAACGTAAGTGGGAAGATAAGAAGGATTTAAAAAATATATCTCAGTGCAGCAATGAACTTAATACTAATTGTTTCTGTGTACTGATGTTATTTTTTCCCACCAATTCAGGATGCTGCTGCTCACAAAGTAGAGTTTTGAATATATATTAGGTCCTAGAGAAAATTTAAGTGGACCAATTGGCATTAGATGGCAACTTGAATGTGGGTCTTAGGGTCACTTCTCAAGTTCCTCGACTCTTTTAGCATTTGCCACTGAAGATACAAACAGATCTTCAAGTTTAAAAACAGGTTTTCAGTATAAATTTGCTGTCACTCTGAAACAGATATTTAAACATTTCACACTGTGTTTTCCTAAACAAGTGAAGAGTTGTAATGTTTTCCTATTTATATTGTGGTTAGCCAATGAAAGGGACCATCATGTATTGCAATAATACAGTAAAGCAGAGAAAGTCATCTACAGTTAAGGTGCAGAATGGAAATTAATTTCTAAAATTGCAATTTCTATATGAAGTTATGAAGTGTTATGTAAAAGCCCACAAAACTCTGTTATTAAAAATGAATAGTTTGAAAGTGTGTCTACAGCAGAGATTTCCGAATAAGATTTTAAAATAGTATAAACAGTTTGCTAGATTCCTACTCAGCTAACCTGTCCCCCATCAGTAGGTTGTTCCTGGGGGCTACCCTACAAGGAAACTGAGGTAAGGGATAAAGCCTGGTCTCAAAGGGTTTGAAATCTCAAAATGAGACATCAGAATGAATACTGCTCACTTATGAATCAACTCCATGAATCTATCTAAAAAAAACAAAACAAAACAACACACTGTATTTCTGATTAGTTCTTCCAATGATGGTCTGAGACGTTAAGATCCCCATTTTACAGTTCAGCTGACTGAGGCTCAGAGCAGTTAAGTAACTTAAGTGGCAGAGCCAGGACTCCCACTCTTCTACGTGACTTACTACCCTATAGGACACTATTCATAATTTTAAGACAGGAAACTAAAATCCATAACCTAGAAGCTCTAATTAAGAAGCAGCAAAGAGCATAAATAACATGACAGAAACTGATAGCAGAGACCCAGAAATAGTATAAAGTGCACTTACTCTAATTAATGAAGAAAATAAGGATGACAGTTATGGTGTTTCTGATGCCACTGGGTAATTTACTTCTAAAAGTCACATAACTGCTTTCATGTTAAGCTTTCAGTATGTTATTAAGACATATTTTCTGTATGCCTCTAAAGTAAAGGTGAAGCCTTCCCATTAGGACTTCTGGGAAGACTATGCTTTTGCCAAAGAACTTGAAAAACATCAGGGTTGTATTTATAACCGATTACAGAGGACAAAGTCTGAAAAGGAGTCATGTATCCAAATTTAGTAAGTGAAACAGAAAAACGTACTTTTCAAATAGTTTGAATAAGAAAAGACTTCGGCTCTAATGTACTGGGGTTTTTATGGAAACTGTTTCCCATCTAGTCTCTGAGTTTCTTTGGGGAATTGTAAGACTCACTGAATGGGATGTTGTCATTGGACCGAGGAGTCAATCTTTTAATATTTATTTTGTAATTGAGGTGAAAACCCACTGAGCAGCAAGTAGAATTAAATACAGAGTAAACTAGACTAAGTTCAGTGGTGCCATAGAATCAAATGAAACCATTCTTTCCTTTCCAGGCTGGAATTGCTCCCCCCCTATTCAAAGCCAAATTGTGTATAAAATAAATGTAGAATGAAGCATCCTGAATGCCTTTCATAAAAATTACAGCCAACCTACAAGACTTTCTCCTGCCCACTCAGAACCACTCCTCTCTACACGCAGATTCGTGTTTACAATCACCTGACTTAAAAAAATCCTCCCAGGGAGAGAAGGTTTGAAACTGGGAAAAGTCAGAGTGAGCAGTATTTACTCATTTGTCATTTGTGCTATAATAATTACCTGAACAACTGTGTGCAGAGTACTGCGGTCAACCTGAGTGGATGCAGTGACGGCAGAGCCGTGGGTCCCATCCCTGTGTGGGACTTGCCTGTACCCCCCGGGGAATTCAGAGGTGCCTCCACAAGCCAGATGCCAGACAGTGCCCAGTAGGGATCACCTAACTTTATCTTACTCGAACTCAGAATCTCTATAAGCAATTTGCAGGCAAAACCAAAATAGGCAGAGAAATAACATTACATAGTTAGAAAGCACTGTCAACAGACATCCATTTCATCCTTACAACTACCCTATGAGGTGTGTATATAATTTATGCCTAATCTATGAAAGAGCTAGTAAGTGATGCCCTTGGGACTTGGCCTCGGGTCTTCTGACAACAGAGTGCCTATTCCCCTCCATTACATTTATATTTACTAAATGTGTACAGAACATTATCTAACAGTTGAAGAATTCCCACATCTTTTTGGGGGCCCAAACACCAGTGCTTCCTACCTTTGAGGCAGAGTTTAAAGATCTAATACTAGGCACCAAAACTGTTCTGAAAGCATACGTGAAAGGAAAGACTGCTTTTTAGAATTGAAGGAGGATGAAGCTGTAGGTTGTGTTAAATTAGGTTTGAAAGCAAACAGTAAAGAAATATTATAAATGTCTATATCAGACAACACGTTAGTCTCTTAAAATGGCAGGAAGAAAGGCCTTTTTTTTTTTTTTTTAAGGAGAGCAAAAGCAAATCTGATTTAAATAGGTACCATGTTTCATTTCCTTTGTATTGTGAGGTTTTATCACCACACTTTAATAAATTGTTCATTTATTAAAACACATTCTAACTTTCAAAGCCTTCTTTTGCAAAAAAGCAAAGCAAAACCAAAGCTCAAACATCAGGTGTGATAGAGATGATTTAAGTTTGGAGATCATGTGACCCTAACACATTCAAAGTGGCTGAGCACATTTTGATACAGGCTGGTCTAATCACTTTGCTCAGCACCTGTTACTATCTTGCATATTCACATTGTTACAGCGTCTCCATATTTCAGTTCTGCAGTTCCTTTCTAATCCACATCTTTTAATTATAATTTGCCAAGTAATCCTAAAATAGGTTTACTTTTTCTAAATAGGGCTTAATTATTTAAAAAAAAAACATAATACTGTAGTCTGGGCATTAACATGTGCCAGGCCCTAGACATGGGGAAAGACAATAAGGAACAACAAGATAAACACAGTACTTCATGGAATTTGCTTACTAACTAGTAGGGGAGATAGTAAACTAGCAATTGCAAAGGATATGCCATTTCCTTCTTAGGAAATGCAGGATGCAAAAGGAACACATGATGAGAAGACTTAAACCTTGAAGTACTTTAATGAGAACAGAAACCTAAGTAGAAGTTCCACAAGGAAATGTGATGTAAAGAAGGGAGAGAGCGAATGCAGAGTGTTCCAGGCAGAGAATAGGTATTAAGATCAGCCTGGCTGTGCAGATAGTGAAATGGTGCTATAATGAAAGATAAGGCAGGGGAGGAGACCAAGGACCCAACCCATGCTTGGCTCTGTTAGCCTCGTTAAGGCACTGGGTTTGTCCTATGGGCAAAGGATAAGCCTTCTGGAATTCTATTTTGTAAAGATCACTCAGCCTGTGCTGTGAAGAATGGACTAGAAAGGGGGAAGGGGTCTGGAAGTACGGAGACCAATGAGGCTGTTGTAGCCACGTGAGAGCCTGGGGTGGCTCTCAGGAATACAGAGAAGTGGACAGATGTGGCGGATATTCAGGAGGAGGTCCAGAGGCTTGATGGCTAACTGAGGAAAGAACAGGGCGCGGTAGCCGAGAAGGCTGGTTCCTGGTTTCTGGGCTTGGATGCCCTTTACTGAGTACAGGGAGAGAGGAAGCTTCTGCACGGCTTGAGAACAGACCACTCAAATCAAGAGTGACAAGTGTGAGAAGGGCGCAATTTTCAGCAAGGCCTGAGGGGGTTTCAAAGCAGCTCCTAGGGGACTTTGGCAATGGATATTTAACCACAGGGAAGAGCTGCAAGGACTTATGGAAGCCCTCAGGTCTGAAAAGGAATTGGAATTCAATGCTTGAAGTTACGTCTCTGGAAAACTGAGTCACACAGTCTACCGGAGAAAATCTAGGCCCGAGACGGAACAGGCAGCAAAGACCAACCGGTCGTCCAGTAACGGGAGGATCGGCCCCGAGGGCCGCGCCTCTCGGCACCACCAAGCCCGCCTTCGGCCCCCCAGGGGCACGGTTTCTGGGCGCCGAGCGTCCGCTCCTCTCTTCCCGATCCAAATCTTAGCCCAAGGCCGCCCAACCTTCCCAGGCATCCCGCTGCCTTCGGCTCTCGGCTCCTCCTCCTACTGCCGGGTTCGGCGCCCCCTCCCCCCACTCGTCCCCAGGCCCGGGGTCTAGTCTTCCTGCAATCCGGCTTCGATGCTCCGGCCCGGCCTGTCCATTCTCCCGTCCTCCGGGCTCGGCCCCTCCAGCCAGATCTCCGCTCCTCGGCCCGGTCTCCCCCACCCCTGCTCGGCTCTGTCGCCAAGCGGGCTTCGGTGCACGGTCTCACACCCATGTGGTGCCATAACAAAGGATCCGCCGCACAGACCCTGCCCATCTCTTCCACTCCCCCCGGAGCAGCTGCAGGCCCGGCGGGCGCCGGGCTTTGGAGGATGGAGGGAGCGGGCCTAGGGCTGACGGGGCCGCGGCAGGAAGGGGCGATGGCAGCACTCACCGCACACACAGTCTCCACACAACGGCCACCGACTTGCTCCTCTCCGCACAGGCTCCGTTTCTCTAGCCCTCCGCCAGCTGCCCATTAAGGGTGAGTTCCAGAGCAGGCTCCGCCCCCGCTAGCCCCGCCCCGGGCCCGCCCCCTCGACTCAGCCCGTCTCAGCGCTGACGCGTCCCTCCAACCCCGGCACGCTCTCGTCCCCACCGCCCCAGGCCCCTTTCTCATAGGCCTGGTGCTCTCCTTTCTCCGGCCCCTCCGCACCTATGCCGCTCTCTCATTGGCCCGGCGCCCTCCTGCCGGCACGCCCCCTCACGCTCTGGCCTGGCCCTCGCGCGGGGTTTGAAGACGGACCCCGCCTGCTGCTGCGGGCCCACGGGTTTCCGCCGGTGGCGCGGGTTTCTTTCTGAAAGTAAAAGGACGGAGACGTGAAGGCCTCACGAGGCCCAAGGAGCAGAGAGAAGGGAGTCAAAGGCGGGCCCCGTCAGACCTCCGGGAGGAAAGGGAGCAGGCCGCGACCCGCGCTGGTAAATCTGTACTTCGCTTTTCTTAGCTCACCCCCCCCCCCCCCCACTTACTGTCTCTAAATCCGAATCCTTCCCTGCTCTACTGATTTCCCCACCCGTTTTCGTTCACAATCTCCGTTCAGACCCTGATGCAAACAACATATCGTTTTCGCAGGAGAATATATCAACACAATTGAGCACGAAATTCACCAAATTTCAAGAGCTTCATGATATCCACGTTAAGAACTAGCCTGCTCCCCAACATTTTTGCCCATTCAGGTATAAATCCGGGGGCTGCGGTTTGTACATAAATATGCATCGTCTTGTATATATGGCACCCCTTTGTTGAGTGCTTAGTACATTTTCGCAGTGCGCTCATTGTAGCCTCTCTACAACTCCAAGAGGTAGGAATTCCAATTACAATCGCTACAGGTGTTGAAGACAGTTAAATCATTTGCTCTTGCTAAAAGAGTTACCGGGGTTAAACTCAGATCCTTTCTTTATCCTTCCCAAATTGAGAGAGGACCAGTGTTTGGCAGTCCTTTCTTTGCTGCAGTGCAACTGAAGAATACGACCCCCTCCAAATCCTACCGGTGGTCCAGCTCCTACTTCTAAGGAAGGAACTGGTACTGTTAATCAGTCCTGTTACCCTGAGATGCCCACGCCCCTTCCTGTGCCCAGGCATTTCTTACCAAAATGATGCTTGAGTTAAAGCAACAGCAGATTTTGTTTTCCTGTAAATTATGCTAATTTGTCTAGTGAAACTTTAATTATAGTAGAACAGTTGGCTAGAGGAAATGTCTTCTGAGTCCAGTAATTTGTTTTGACAGAGTTGTTTCAGAGGTGGCAGAATTTGATCTGGGCCTTGAAGAGGAAGAATTTGGGAAAAGCAAGTGAGGCATTCCAGGTGAGAGGAATCTACGCCAGAGGGTGCTTGTAATTGGCCAGGGACAGGAAGTGGTCCTTATGCATTTGGTGGTAAGAAATGAAATGATTAAGTGATTCTAGAGACTGTAAAGCAGTTTAGAATCTGGTCCAGATTCTGGAGAGAGTTTGGACTTCTTGAGGTGAATCAAAGTGTGAACTGAGTGATGCTCTGAACCATTAATGAGTGGCCCTATGGAAAGTTCTGAATCTGGTTTTAAAGGTGATTAGTCTGGCAGAGTTAGGCTGTTTGGATGGATGATCCACTGGGGGTGGTAGAAAGGGGAAGCTGGAGAAGAATAATATGTCACTGTAAGTTTTGTTATCCCTTACCAGAAATTTTTGGGAAATTTGATTTTTTTTTTTTAATGTTTATGTTTGAGACAGAAAGACAGAGTGTGAGCGGGCTTGGGTAGAGAGAGAGGGAGACACAGAATCCAAAACAGGCTCCAGGCTCTGAGCTATCAGCATGGAGCCCAACGTAGGGCTGGAATGCACCGACTCGAGATCATGACCTGAACCGAAGTCTGATGCTTAATTGACTGAGCCAACCAGGTGCCCTTAGGGAAATTTTAATATGACTTACTTTTGTTTAAGCATAGAGAGGCAAAGTGACCAGAGTGGGGGGTGGGGAGAAGATTCAATTAGTGTAGTTAATTTCTTCAGGTGTTACTCATCTGGGATATAATCTTCTATAACAATATTACTGTAAATGAATTTTAATCTCATACTTGATCATGAATATTCTAGTAGCGGGAGAAGTAGTATAAATGTGTTCCAGGAGGCCAGCAAGGGGATTTTATTAAGAAAATATTGCCAAATACCAGAACATTAACACTGGAACTGGAACATACATGCCAGGAAACACAAAATACTGGTGAGTCTGTTCTCAGGGCACCGGGAGAAGCTGACTTGTGATTAGACAAAAGAAGAAAGAAGCTAGAAGCGCACCAGGGAGAACCATGGCAAGGCTTTAGCTCTCCCTAGAGGCCGGGAATCTGTATTCCAGCTGCTCCTGGGACTCCAGCCACCAAGTGTGCTAGCTGGGCAAGTCTGGGCATAAACCAGGGCTATTGAGGTTGGCTGCCTATGTCCTTTCTCTGCCTCCTTTCCTCTGCCTCTTCTTCCACTACGGTTCCTCAAAAATGACTCAGCCAGACTTTTTTCTAGCCTGACCACCTTTAGTTGTAAAATCAGTATCGAACATGGTTAATTGCAATGTTAAGAAAAAAGCATTGTGGGATGTGGCGCCTGGGTGGCTTAGTCAGTTAAGCGGCTGACCTTGGCTCAGGTCATGATCTCGCAGTCCATGAGTTCGAGCCCCACATCCTGCTCTGTTCTGACAGCTCAGAGCCTGGAGCCTGCTTTGGATTCTGTGTCTCCCTCTCTGTCTCTGCTCCTCCCCTGCTCATGCTCTTTCTCTCTCTCAGAAATAAATAAACATTAAAAAAAAAATTAAATAGCACTGTCGGGGGTGCCTGGCTGGCTGACTCCGTTGGTAGAGCTTGTGACTCTTGATCCTGAGGTCATGAGTTCAAGCCCCACATCGGGCATAGAGCTTATTTTAAAAAAAGAAGAGGAGGAGAAAGAAGAAAGAACATTGCGGCACAGTGTGAAGAAATAAATAATAGAGCTCTTAAGCCTAGTATTTTAAAATACAGCAAATATTTTTCTTTGGAACTTGGAAACTGTTACCAAAAATAGTTATGGTCCTGTGTGAAAAGAGGTTTTTGCTGCACAATTATGTAAAAGACCACAATCCTTCCCCACCAGGAATTAAAAGCATTTCGAGGGGCACTTGGGTGGCTCAGTGGGTTAAGTGTCCAACTTCAGCCTAGGTCATGATCTTGCTGTTTTGGAGTTTGAACCCTGCACGGGCTCTATGCTGACAGCTCAGAGGCTGGACCCTATTTCAGATTCTGTGTCTCCCTCTCTCTCTCTGCCCCTTCCCCACTCACGCTCTGTCTCTCTCAAAAATAAACATTAAAAAAAAGCATTTCAAAATTGGTGACCTGATGAGGAAAATGATAGTCCAAAACCAGAATGCCAGATGCCTTCCTGTTCTCCATTTCCTTTGCTTTTGTCATTTAATCCTCCTGCTCCTACAGTGAGGCCCCCAGTTGTCTTCTAACCCTGAACCCAGCTGTTAAAATTTTTGAACTGTGCAAACAACATGAGGGAGTAACATATTGAATTTCTCTTTGTTCTCTGTTGGCACTATGGTTTCCTCAGTTCAGTGAGTTGTCAAACCATACTCTCATGGGCATGCCAGCAATTTTTACAAAATCAAAAATTTTCCTGATGTCAGTGTCACTAAGTGTGAACATGTACATGGTTATTCTTCGTCAGTTAATGGTTAGATCCTAGAGCTACAGATCCTATCTAAGTGCATTCTGTGTTTCTTGTCTTTACTAAGTCATCAGTGGGCTTTATTAAAAGTTATACTTTATAGAAGAGAATCAGTTTCTCACTTGGGTTGTCTAAATGTTGAGGATTTTTATCTGTATGTGAAACAAATTAAAATAAACTTTGTACTCAGAATCTAGCATTACGGAGCCCCCGTATCACTTCGTATTGAAAAAGCCGTTTCGTCAAAAATTATCCTGTCTCTTCAATCCAGTGAAATTGTATTCCTTTCCGCGGCATACCTGTAATGACATTTATGTTGATATCTTTAGAATTACGTTGGTTATAATTTATTTATTAAAATATTTTTAATGTTTCTTAAAAAATTTTTTAACGTTTATTTATTTTTGAGAGAGAGAGAGAGAGTGCATGTGCCAGCAGGGGAGGGGCAGAGAGGGAGAGGGAGACGCAGAATCAGAAGCAGACTCCAGGCTCTGAGCTGTCAGCGTAAGAGCTGGATGTGTGGGACTCAAACCCATCAACTGGGAGATCACGACCTGAGCTGAAGTTGAATGCTTAACCGACTGAGCCACCCAGGTGCCCCTCTTGGTTTGTAATTTATAATTTTCATCTGGATCAGGTGTAACTTTGAGAGAGCAATCTTTCTTAGGTCTGTCATGGTTGGAGTCAAATGTGAAATTTAACAGTCATGACGTTTTACCATCTCCGTCTTCTAGGATGAACCTGTTTTTCCTTCCCGGGAACGTATCATTTGCCAGTGAGTTTGTGTTGTTGGAAGGTTTTCTGCTAAAATTCAAGAGAATATTTATCAACATGATAAGCACAAGTACTGGAAAGGCATCGCGAAAGGTAAATAGGAATTTTCCCCTCAAATGCTGTAGTTTATGTTGTTATTTCGGTTTATAAAATGAATGTATGTGTTTTATATATCAGTAAATTATGACATAGATGATATTGATGAAGAGGGAGACTACATCGGTTTTCTATTTCTGTGTAAAACATCACGCCAAAACTTCTAGGCTTAAACAAAAAGTAATGTTTTCTTCCAGTTCTGTGGGTTGAACAGCTGCTTTGCAGATCTCACCTGAACTCACTCAGGCTTACTTACACATTGAATTCTTGGGGCGCCTGGGTGGCGCAGTCGGTTAAGCGTCCGACTTCAGCCAGGTCACCATCTCGCGGTCCGTGAGTTCGAGCCCCGCGTCGGGCTCTGGGCTGATGGCTCAGAGCCTGGAGCCTGTTTCCGATTCTGTGTCTCCCTCTCTCTCTGCCCCTCCCCCGTTCATGCTCTGTCTCTCTCCCAAAAATAAATAAACGTTGAAAAAAAAAAATTAAAAAAAAAAAAAAAATGAATTCTGGTGGGTGCCTGATCCAAAATAGCTTAACTCAATATATCTGATAGTTGATGTTGGCTGTTACCTGGGGTAACTTGGGTTCTTCTCCAGGTGGCTTTTTATCCTCTATGAGGCTAGAGTTCTGGCATGACAGTCCCAGGGTGGGACTACAGCATAGCCAAATCCAGTGCAAAAGCACTTAACGCCACTAGTTTGCTTCACATTTGTTGATGTGACATTGACACATTGAGATTCACATTGTTGACGTGACCAAAGCAAGTCACATGACCAAACACAGAGTCAGTGTGGGAGTGGGCTCAGACAGCAGCTATTGATGGGAGGAATGGCAAAAATTTTGTGGCCATCGGGGCGCCTGGGTGGCGCAGTCGGTTAAGCGTCCGACTTCAGCCAGGTCACGATCTCGCGGTCCGTGAGTTCGAGCCCCGCGTCGGGCTCTGGGCTGATGGCTCAGAGCCTGGAGCCTGTTTCCGATTCTGTGTCTCCCTCTCTCTGCCCCTCCCCCGTCATGCTCTGTCTCTCTCTGTCCCAAAAATAAAATAAAAACGTTGAAAAAAAAAATTAAAAAAAAAATTTTGTGGCCATTATCTACCTACGATACAAGCTTTTTTCCCCTTCTAAAAACTCATCCTTTTTTTTTTTTTTCTAAGTAAAACATAATCAAAAGTTGAAGAAGTATTGCCTGGCCCCCTCACCTGGTTAAAATGGAAACGTATGCAAACAAAAACATACATGATTAGATCAATAAACAGGTGTTAAAAGACCATCATTTCACATTGATCACAAAATTACAGTCATTAACAGACATAGATTAAAATTTATTTATTCCCGTCTTCAGTCGTGTTTATGATGAACATAGACATCCTAAACCAAAGTAGCCAATATTTGCAGTTCCCATTTATACACGGTGTTGTCCTCCCAACTAACGGTTGTGTTAGAAAAGAAATGGATAGAAACATAGAAGGAAAGGGAACTAAGAGTTGCACAGTGGTGTCTGGAAATGAACTCTGCCCTGAGAAGTAGTAGCACAAGAGTCATGGCCAAAGTAGTAGGACGACTTGGGCAAGGTCAATAGTGCTTGATGCATTAAAGTGGTTCTAGTGAAAACGATAATGATACAGAAACCACTTGTATTTACCTGCGACTTTGTAATTTACAAAACGTTTTCTTAGGTCTTATCACATGTATCCTTATAATTACATAAAGTATTCAGGATGACATTGATCCCCATTTTGCAGTTAAGGCTCAGCGAACTTCTAAAATCATAGCACTGTTAGAAGAACCAAGATTGAAAGATATCTGACAACTAGCCATGTTCTCATTTCACATTAAAACTTCATGTAAAATAAATAAGTAAATAAATAGGATAAGGAAATAGCCATTAGGAAATGGGTTTTGAAGTTTTACCAAAAAATATGTATATATATTCTAAACAAAGAAATTGATGTCCTTGTTTTTTTTAGTACTAATTGGTAGAAATCTTACACAGGGTAGGATTTAGTTTCCCGTAACTTCTGAACCAATGGAGAGAAAATGGGAAGCAAAACTGAAGCAAATTGAAGAACGAGCAGCTTGTTACGAGAGGAAACCATTGTCCTCAATATACAGACCGAGATTGTCCAAGCCAGAAGAACCACCTTCCATTTGGAAACTATTCCATCGGCAAACTGAAGCCTTTAATTTTGTTAAAAGCTGTAAAGAGGTAATTTTCTCATCTCCTGCCTTTATTTCTGGGGCTACTGTGACTTTAGATTTCTAAAAACAAACTAAAAATCGTTTGTGTTCATTCGAGCCCACATGATTTACAAAAGAATCGTGATCTAAATATCACACTGTTTGCAAAACATATCCCTATGAATTGTTGGCCATTCACTTTATATTAAGAATGAAGAGCAATGACCTATGTAGTGCCAATTGGTTTGAAAAATTTGTAATGATACTTAAAAAAATGTTTTTTTTCAAATATAGTTGACATAGTAAGTATATCAGTTTCAGGTGAACAACATAGTGATTTGACAGTTCTATACATACAAAATACTCACCACAGTAAGTCTAGTTACCATCTATCACCAAAGTTACTCCAATATTATTGACTATATTCCCTATGCTGTCCTTTTCATCACCATGACTTATTTATTTTATAAGTGGAAGATTGTACTTTTTAATCCCCTTCCCCTATTTCTCTTGTCTCTCCATCTCCTCCCTGCCCCTCTTTGGCAACCACCGGTTTATTCTCTGTATTTATGAGTCTGTTTTAGGTTCGTTTTGTTTTTAGATTCCACATATCAATGAAATCATATGATCCTTGTTTTTCTCTAACTTATTTCACTTAGCATAATACCCTCTAGGTCCATCCATGTTGTGAACAGCAAGACTTCATTCTTTTTTTTTTTTTTTTAGGGCTGAGTAATATTCCTTTGAGTACATATACTGTATTTTCTTTATCCATTCATCTGTCAGTGGACACTCGGTGTGTTCCATATGTTGGCTGTTATAAATAAATATGGGTACACATATTCTTCTGAATTAGTGCTTTCATTTTCTTCAGGTAAATACCGAATTACTGGAATTACTGGATTGTATGGTATTTCTATTTTAATTTTTTTGAGGAACCTCCATTCTGTTTTCCATAGTGGCTGCACCAACTTACGTTCCCACCAACAATGCTGCATGAGTGTTCCCTTTTCTCCAAATCCTTACAAACATGGTTATTTCTGGTCTTTTTGATACTAGCCATTCTGATGGGGGCAAGGTGGTATCTCAGTGTGGTTTTGATTTGCATTTCCGGGATGATTAGTGATGGTGAGCATTTCTTCATGTGTCTGTTGTCCATCTATAGGTCTTCTTTGGAAAAATGTCTGTTCAAGTGCTCTGCACATTTTTAAAGTCAGATTCTTTTTTGGTGTTGAGTTGTAAGAGTTCTTTATATTACTTTGGATATTAGCCCCTTATCAGATATATCATTTGTAAATATCTTCTCCCATTCAGGAGGTTGCTTTTGCATTTTGTTGATGGTGTCTTTTGCTGTGCAAAAGCTTTTTAGTTTGGTGTAGTCCCAATTGTTTATTTTTGCTTTTAAAAAAAAATTTTTTTTTTCAACATTTATTTATTTTTGGGACAGAGAGAGACAGAGCATGAATGGGGGAGGGGCAGAGAGAGAGGGAGACACAGAATCGGAAACAGGCTCCAGGCTCCGAGCCATCAGCCCAGAGCTCGACACGGGGCTCGAACTCACGGACCGCGAGATCGTGACCTGGCTGAAGTCGGATGCTTAACCGACTGCGCCACCCAGGCGCCCCTATTTTTGCTTTTGTTTCCACTGCCTGGGGAGATAGATCCAGAAAAATATTGCTAAGGCTGATGTCCAAGAGTTTACTGCCTGTATTTTCTTTAAGGAGGTTTATGGTTTTAGGTCTTATATTTAGGTCTTTAATCTGTTTTGAGTTTATTTTTGTGTATGGTGCGAAAAAGTGGCCCAGTTTCATTTGTTTGCATTAGCTATCCAGTTTTCTCAGCACCGTTTATTGAGGAGACTGTCTTTTCCTCACTGCATATTCTTGCCTCCTTTGTTATAGATTAATTGACCTTATAATTATGGATTTATTTCTGGGCTCTCTATCCTGTTCCATTGATTTGTGTGTGTACTTTTGTGCCAGTGCCATACTATTTTGATATCTATAGAATTGTAATCTACTTTGAAATCTGGGGTTGGAATACTTCCAGCTTAGTTCTTCTTGCTGAAGACTGCTTTGGCTATTTGTGATCTTCTTTGGTTCCCTACAAATTTTAGGACTATTTGTGCTAGTTTTGTGAAAGATATTATTGGTATTTTGGTAGGGATTGCATTCGATCTGTAGATGGCTTTGGATAATATGGACATTATAACAGTATTACTTCTTCAGATCCATGAGCATTGTATATCTTTCCATTTTTGTTGTCTTCAGTTCTTTAATCAGTGTCTCATGGTTTTCAGAGTACAGGTCTTTCACTTCGTTGATTGAATTTATTCCTAGGTGTTTTATTCCTTTTGATGCAACTGTAAATGAGATTATTTTCTTAATTTCTTTCTGATAGCTCACTATTAGTATTTAAAAGTACACTTGATTTCTGTATGTTAATTTTGTATCCCGCAATTCTATTGAATTCATTTATTGTCATTTTTTGGTGGAGTCTTTAGGGTTTTCTATATGTAGTATCATGTCCTCTGCAAATAGTGACAGTTTTACTTCTTCCTTACCAGTTTGGATGCCCTTTTCCCCCTCCTTTTTCTTGTCTGATTGCTGTGGTTAGGACTTCTAGTACTGTGTTGAACAAAAGTGGGGAAAGTGGGCATCTTTATCCTTTCTTGATCTTAAAGGGAAAGCTTTCAACTTTTCATTGTTGAGGATGATGCTGGCTATGGGTCTGTCATATATGGTCTTTATTATGTTGAGATGTTCCCTCAATACTCATTTTGTTGATAGTGTTATGATATGGAATTTGGTCAAATGCTTTTTAAAGTGTTGTATTATGTTGATTGATTTGTGGGTATTGATCCATCCTTGCATCCCTGGAATAAACCCCACTTAATCATGGTGAATGATCTTTTTTTTAAAATTTTTTTTATTAAAATTTTTTTTTTAACATTCATTTATTTTTGAGAGACAGAGAGAGGCAGAGCATGAGCAGGGGAGGGGGAGAGAGAGATACAGAATCTGAAGCAGGCTCCAGGCTCTGACCTGTTTGTTAGCACAGAGCCGGACGCAGGGCTCGAACCCGCGAACTGCGAGACCATGACCTGAGCTGAAGTTGGACGCTCAATGACTGAGCCACCCAGGCGCCCTGGTGAATGATCCTTTTAATGTATTGTGTTAGATTTGCTAATATTTTGTTGAAGATTTTTACATCTGTGCTCATCAGGGATAATAGTCTACTTTTTTTTTTTTTTTTTTTAGTGTCTTTGGTTTACTTTGAGGGTAATGCTGTTCTTTCAGAACAAATTCAGAAGTATTTCTTTAAAAAAAAGCATTCCTTCCTCTTATATATTTTGGAATAGTTTGAGAAGCATAGTTACTGACTCTTCTTTAAAAGATGTTTGGTGAGGAGCACCTGGAGGACTCAGTCAGTTGAGCGCCTGACCCTTGGTTTTGGCTCAGGTCATGATATTGGGGTTTGTGGATTCAAGCCCCACATCAAGTTCGTGCTGACAGTGCAGAGCCTGCTTGGGATTCTCTCTCTCCCTCTCACTGCTCCTCTTCTGCCTGTGCTCACTCGCTCTCTGTCTCTCTCAAAATAAATATATAAACTTTTTAAAAAATGAGTAAAAGATGTTTGGTAAAATTCACCTGTGAAGCCATCTGGCCCTAGACTTTTGTTTTTTGGGGAGTTTTTGATTACCAATTGAATTTCATTACTAGTAATCCATTTTCTATTTCTGATTTAGTCTTGGAAAACCTTATGTTACTATGGATTTGTCCATTTCTTCTAAGTTGTCCAATTTGTTGGCATATACTTTCTTGTAGTCCCTTTATTTTTTTTCCACTTTTTACTTTTATTTTTTTAATCTAAAAATTTATGAAAAAAACAGTGCCAAATTCACATCCTAAAAACACAGAGATACGTATTTTAAAAGAAATATGTAGGGGCACGTGGGTGGCTCAGTCGGTTAAGCGTCCGACTTCAGCTCAGGTCACAATCTCACGGTCCGTGAGTCTGTGAGTTCGAGCCTCGCGTCGGGCTCTGGGCTGATGGCTCAGATCCTGGAGCCTGCTTCTGATTCTGTCTCCCTCTCTCTCTGCCCCTCCCCCGATCATGCTCTGTCTCTCTCTGTCTCAAAAATAAACGTTAAAAAAAAATTTTTTTAAAGAAATATGTAGACTTTCAATTTCCAATCCATATAGGAGGCTTAAAAGTTGCCACTGTGTCCCAACAACACTAATTTTTTACCTAAGTAGTATAAAAAGCTGGACAAACTGAAAAATCAACAACTTTTCTTAGATCTGTAAGAGAAGTGAGAACACAGGTAAGCCACTGCTCCCCCAAATTGGAAAGATTGACAGACAAAAACAGAGAATCATAGCCTCCTGGAGAAAAGACCCATGAGCAGTAACCTCTGTTCTCTGGGAACTAGTGTCAAGTTAGGGAAACCTGGACTGTAACTGATAACTTGCTGGAGTCTCAGGATGGACAAGTCTGAGAGAGAAAATCTCTAAGAAGACCCGTCATGGGGGGGGGGGGGGAGAGGAAGAGGGAGAAGCAGAAATGGCCCCACACTTTTATGAAATTCTCCCCCTGGGGAGCTCTATCAATTTCTCACAATGAACACCAGAGAAAAATCTCCTCATGCTTCCAGCAGGGAGAAGAAAAGAGGAACCAATTAGAAATACGTCAAAGCAGTCTGTTCTTTTTAACATGGTCTACACTGAGGAGACACTATTTAACCATGGTTTAAGCTGTCAGGATTTTATCAGAGCTAAACTAAATAATAAAATACCTAATGAAATACCTATCTCCAGCCCACTCTAATCATCCTGCCTCACCTAGTGGGTGGGCTGATAAACCAGTATGAAGTTCATGGCCCAGAACAGGCTTATTAAAAGACCCAGACCTAATCAAAAGATGTAGTAGTCCCTTTAATCTTTTGTGTTTTTGTGGTGTCAGTTGTAACTTCTCTTTTTTTTTAATTTTTTTAAATTTTTTTAATGTTTATTTATTTTTGAGAGAGACAGAGTGCTAGCAGGGGAGGGACAGAGAGAGAGAGAAAGACACAGAATCTGAAGAGGCTCCAGGCTCTGAGCTGTCAGCACAGAGCCCGACGTGGGGCTTGGACTCATAAGCCGTGAGATCATGACCTGAGCGGAAGTCGGACACTTAACCGACTGACCCACCCAGGCGCCCCTCTTTTATTTCTGATTTTATTTTTGAGTTGTCTTTCTTATTCTTGATGAGTCTGGTTATATCAATTTTGTTTATCTTTTCAAAGAACCAGTTCTTAATTCCATTGATATTTTCTATTGTCTTTTAGTCTTTGTTTCCACTCTGATCTTTATTATTTTCTTCCTTCTAATTTTGGGCTTTTTTTATTCTTGTTTTGTTCCTTTAGGTGTAAGTTTAGATTGCTTCTTTGAGATTTTTCTTGTTTCTTGAAGTAGGCCTGTATTGCTATAAACTTGCCTCTAATAGAAGTGCTTTTTCTGTGTCTCCTGTAAATTTGGAGCCATTGTGTTTCCATTCTCTCGTGTGTCCAGGTATTTTTTGATTTCCCTTTGATTTCTCCATTGGCCCATTGGTTTTTTTACTAGCACATTTATTTCCAGTTTTTTTCTCATTGATTTCTGGTTTCATATTATTGTTGGAAAAGATGCTTGATATGATTTCAGTCCTTTTAAATTTATTGAGACTTGTTTGGTGGCCTGACATATCCTGGAATGTTCCATGTGCACTTGGAAAGAATGTGTTTTCTGCCGTTTGGGGATGAAATGTTCTGTATATATTTATTAAATCCATATGGTTTAGTGTGTCATTCAAAGCCAAAGTTACTTTATTGATTTTTTTCGTCTGGATGATCTATCCATTGATGTAAATGGAGTGTTAAAGTATGCTACTATTATTGTATTACTGTCATTTTCTCCCTCTTTGTTAGTACTTAATATATTTACGTGCTCTTATGTTGGGTGCATAGATGTTTACAATTGCCGTATCCTCTTGTTAGACTGATCCCTTTATCATCATGTTATGACCTTCTTTGTTTCTTGTTCTAGTGTTTGTCTTAAACCTATTCTGTTTGCTAGAAGTATTGCCACTCCAGCTTTTTTTTTTTCATTTCCATTTGTATGGAATATCTTTTTCTATCCCTTTTTCAGTTTATGTGTCTTTCAGTCTGAAGTGAGTCTCTGGTAGGCAGCATATAGATGGGTCTTGTGTTTTTTATCCATTCAGTCAGTTACCCTTTGTTGTTTGACTGGAGGATTTAGTCTATTTACATTTAAAGCAAAGATTTTGATTGGTGTAGATGTACTGACTATTTTTCTTATTTTTAGTAATCAGAATGATGTTCAAATTCCAGTTTTTCAAAATTTGACAAAATTCTTCATAAGCATTGAGTAGCTATAGTGGGTTTTTGGATTTGGACTCTATTAATTTTTTGAATATTATTTTTGATTTCTATGAAGGATGTTCATGTATTTGCTTTGGAATACAAAGTGGGTGATGGACAACGTATTTATCTGGTAACAACCTACACTCAACTTTGGTTTTACTATAAATCCCGGTAAGTCTGTAAAGCACAGCATGTTAAAGTTACATTTCCTTCATCTAGTTATGTTTGTGAAATTGATTCTGGCTGAATTAACTGTTACAGTTCTCAATCACACAATAGTCCTTTACTGGTAGAATTGAATTCTGGAGCTTCCTTGTCATGGCAACACTGAATGATCTCACCAGGTGTTGGGAGCAGAGTACTACGTAACCAACCGTGTGTGTGTGTGTGTGTGTGTGTGTGTGTGTGTGTGTGTTTTGAGTTCCTAAATAATCTGTGTCACATGATGACCCAATCCCCCCATCACTTTTCCGTGTTGAAATTACAAACCTTTTACTTACATAGGATGCCATCTGAACTTCACTTAGCACAAGTAATCATTTACTTATCAAGTCAGTATCTGTTCTTATTAACCCGTGTTAAAGTCCTATCTCCTGATCCATGTGGGAGCATTGAAAGCTCCTTGAAGTCAGGTGATTTAGAATATGTTTTTAGCCAATTTTGAAAAGCCTGTTTTCCTAATGAAAATACAAATCTTAAAAATTCTCAAAAAATTTATCGAATCCCAAGAATATATGTGATCTTGGGATTCCGGTGTGAGAAAGTTCTTTTCTTAGACAGGATTTGCTTTATCATGACACCAAAAAGCCAAGAATTGTCATACAATGTGAAAATTATCAGCACTTGAAAATATTTTCAAGTTAAATAATGTTATGAATACAATTATTACATGTTGTGTGATGGGAGCTCTTGATAATATGATCCATAAACCTACTGTGAGCAGTTTACTTTGTCATGCCTTCACTGTGCCATAGTTATATGTCATTAAATCACAGTTAATACAGTATCTTGAAATATAAAAGCAGCTATTATGATTTAAAAGGTATAAGATGTAAACCTAATAATCTTGCATTATTCAATTAGAAAAAATCTCTTACACTGCTATGAAGTCATTCCTGAAAACGCTGTGTGCAAGCTTTATTTTGATTTGGAATTTAACAAACATGCGAATCCTGAAGCTGATGGGAAAAAGATGGTTGCGTTACTCATCGAGGTACATTAATAACTTGGGTTTTTCTTCTTATATCTGTATATCTCTTCATTCATTTATTCATTCATTAAGTGCATCCAACCTATGTAATATTTGGCTTCTGTGTTTCAGCTCCTTTTTTTTTTTTCCTCTTCCTTTTGACCTTCATTTCTTAATGTGACTTTTCTGAGTAAAGTTCCACAGAGACCAAAGGTTCAGTTCTGGTCCATATGTTTTGTGATATTAGCACATCTATAAAAAATAGCCTTGAGAAAGATGGCAATTTGGACACTTTTTAAATTATATGTTAATTCTCTTTATATTATAAATAGCTGACTCTGGTAAAAAGGCAAAGTAATTGTTACTGTAAAAATCAGGTAGTAAGATGAATTTCTTTTTTTTTTTTTTTTAATTTTTTTTTTTTTCAACGTTTATTTATTTTTGGGACAGAGAGAGACAGAGCATGAACGGGGGCGGGGCAGAGAGAGAGGGAGACACAGAATCGGAAACAGGCTCCAGGCTCCGAGCCATCAGCCCAGAGCCCGACGCGGGGCTCGAGCTCACGGACTGCGAGATCGTGACCTGGCTGAAGTCGGACGCTTAACCGACTGCGCCACCCAGGCGCCCCAAGATGAATTTCAAGAAAACTTTGATTAAAAATTGTGTCATAGGGGCGCCTGGGTGACTCAGCCAGTTAAGCATATGACTTGGATCTTGGCTAAGGTCATGATCTTATGGTTCGTCAGATTGAGCCTCAAGTCAGGCTCTGTGCTGACAGCCTGGAGCCTGCTTGGGATATTCTCTTTCTCTCTCTGTCTCTCTGTCTGTTTCTCTGTGTCTCTCTTTCCTTCTCTGTCCCTCCCCTGCTGGTTCTCTCTCTCTCTCAAAATAAATATAACTTAAAAAAAAAAATAAAAAAATTTGTATCACAGGGGTACCTGGGCGGCTCAGTTGGTTGAGTGTCCATCTTGATTTTGGCTCAGGTCATGATCCCAGGGTCATGGGATTGAGCCCCACATCCGGCTCCATGCTGGGCTGCTTGAGATTCTCTCTCTCTCCCTTTGCCGCTCTCCCCTGCTTGCTTCTCTCTCTCTCTCAAATTAAAAAAATAAGGGGCACTTGGGTGGCTCAGTCGGTTAAGTGTCCGACTTTGGCTCAGGTCATGATCTCACGGTTCATAGGTTTGAGCCCCGCATCAGGCTCTGTGCTGACAGCTCGGAGCCTGGAGCCTGTTTCAGAATCTGTGTCTCCCTCTCTCTCTCTCTGCCTCTCCCCCCACTCGCACTCTGTCTCCCTCTGTCTCAAAAATAAATAAACATTAAAAAAAAAAATTAAAAAAAAAGGTATAATTTTTTTTGCTCACAATGATTTTGGAAATTATTGTGCCATCATAAGTGAGGAAACTAAGGTCTAGAAAGACTTAATTCTTATTCCAGGTCTTATACTATTGGTAAAACATGGTCTAGTAATTGTTTTTAAAGGAGAAAAAACTGTAATTCTAGGATGTTTTTGATTTAGCAGTGTCAACCAGGAAGTTACTAACAAAAGGGATAATATGGGCTTGTTCAACTGAACACTATTATGTATGTTTATAAAATCTTTTAATATTTTATTACATTAAATTACATTAAACTTGGTTTTTATTTGGGCCCAGAGTAGGCATTAACATTTATTGATTAACTTTTTTCTTTTAGATGTTAATTGTAGATGACACATTTTATAACTTTAAATATATCTCAAGGGTGCCCAGGTGGCTTAGTCAGGTAAGTATCCAACTTGGGCTCAGGTCATGATCTCACAGTTCATAGGTTCCAGCTCCATTTCGGGCTCTGTGCTGATAGTGCAGGGTCTGCTTGGGATTCTCTCTCTCTTCCTCTCTCTGCCCCTCCCCCACTTGTATTTTTTCTCTCTCTCCCCCCAAATAAATAGATAAAACTTAAAATTAGAAAAAATATATCTCAAAATGTTTTTGGTAGAGAATATCTGCCCAATTAGGTTGAATCACTATATGTTTTTAAAATTTTTTGTGAAAAATGTATGCAAATACTTTTTTTAAAAGTGTGTATTTATCTTGAGAGAGGAAAAAAAGCATGAGCAGGGGAGGGGCAGAGAGAGGGGCGAGCAAGAATCCCAAGCATGCTCTGTACTGTTAGTGCAGAGCCCAATGGAGCCTCACAGAGCCCCATGTGAGGCTCAAACTCATGAACTGTGAGATCATGACCTGAGCCAAAGTTGGACGCTTAACCGACTGAACCCCCCAGGTGCCCCACCCCGCAAATATTTAAAAAAAAAAATCATATGTTAGCTTTTTTTTGGCTTTGCCTCCCCCCCCCCCACCTTACTTAGGTTTGTTTGTTTATTTATTATGAAGTATAGTTGACATCTAATATTGGTTTCAGGGGTATAACACAGTGACTTGACATCTATATACATTATATAGGATCCATCAGGATGAGTCTAGTCACCGTATAAAGTTATTATAATATTAATGACTATGTATTCCTATGAGTCTATTTTGGTTAGTTTTGTTTGTCTTGTTTTTTAGATTCCACAGGTAAGTGAAACCATGTGGAATTTGACTTTCCCTGTCTGACCTATTTCACTTAGCATAACACATGTGCTGGCAAATGGCAAAATTTTATTGTTTTTCATGGCTGAGCAATCGTATTCTTTATGATTACATCTTCTTTATCCATTCATCTATCAGTGGACACTTAGATGTCTTCCATATCTTGGCTATTGTAAATAATGGTGCAGTAAATATAGGAGTGTGTACATCTTTTTAAATCAGTGTTTTTGTTTTCTTTGGGTAAATCCCCAGGAATGGAATTGATGGATCATACGGTAGTTCTGTTTTTTACTTTTTGAAAAATCTCATACTGTTTTCCAGAGAGGCTGCACCAATTTACGTTACCATCAACAGTGCAAAAGAGTTCCCTTTTCTCTACATCCTTGCCAATACTTTTTATTTCTTGTCTTTTTGATACTAGCTATTCTGACTTGTGTGAGGTAATATCTTATTGTGGTTTTGATTTGCGTTTCCCTGATGAGTGATGTTGAGCATTTTTTTTTTTTAATTTTTTTTTCAACGTTTATTTATTTTTGGGACAGAGAGAGACAGAGCATGAACGGGGGAGGGGCAGAGAGAGAGGGAGACACAGAATCGGAAACAGGCTCCAGGCTCTGAGCCATCAGCCCAGAGCCCGACGCGGGGCTCGAACTCACGGACCGCGAGATCGTGACCTGGCTGAAGTCGACGCTTAACCGACTGCGCCACCCAGGCGCCCCAGATGTTGAGCATTTTTTAATGTCTGTTGGCCATCTGGACATCTTCTTTGGAAAAATGTCACTCAAGTCCTCTGCACATTTTTAAAATCAGAGTTTTGTTTTTTGGTGTTGAGTTGTTAGGGGTTCTTTAGACATTTTGGCTATTAATTTCTTATTCGATACATCATTTATAAATATCTTCTCCCATTCAGGAGATTGTCTTTTTGTTTTGTTGATTGTTTCCTTCTCTGTGCAAAAACTTTTTGGTTTGATGTAGTCCTTGTTGTTTAATTTTGCTTTTGTTACCCTTACCTGAGGAAACAGATCCAAAAACTAATGCTCAAATATCCTAGAGTTTACTGCCTATAGTTTCTTTAAGGAGTTTTTTGGTTTCAGGCATTACATTTAGTTCTTCAATCCATTTCGAGTTTATTTTTGTATACGATGAAAGAAAGTGAATTCTTTTGTGTGTAGCTAGCTATTCAGTTTTCCCAGCACTATTTATTGAACACAGTGTCTTTTATCCATTGTATATTCTTTCCTTCTTTGTTGTAGAATGATCATTTAATTGTGGGTTTATTTCTGTGCTCTGTGTTCTGTTTCATTGATTTATGTGTGTACTTTTGTGCCAGTACCACACTACTTTGATTACTATAGCTTTGTAGTATAGTATGAAATCTGGCAGTGTGATACCTCCAGCTTTGTTCTTTTTTCTTAAGATTGATTTATTTATATGTGGTCTTTTGGTTCTATACGTCCTTATGACCATTACTTGGAAGTCTTTATCAGGTAGATTGTTTATCTTTCTTTTGTTCGATGCTTTCTTTGAGGTTGTTTTTTTTTTCCCCCTATTTGGGACATATTCTTTCTCATTTTTTCTGTGTTTATTTCTATGTATTTGGTAGTCTGCTCTGTTTCCTGGTCTTGAAGGTAGTATCCTTATGTAGAAGGCATCCTACTGGCACCAGAAGCGAAATCTCTCCTGCTCACTAGAACCAGGTACTCCAGGGGTGTCCCGTGTGTGGGTTGTATGTGCCCTTCTGTCGTGACAGGGCCCTGACTCCTGTCAGGGGCACTGGTGGGCAGGGCGGGTGGGAGGATCAACGGACCCAGTGGTGTGGCTACAGCTGCTGGGGACGTGCTTGTGGGTGGAGTTAGCCTCTGCTGTAGCTGGCTCTAGGGCTTGGCTGTGACTGCTGTGCATGTGCTGGTAGGTGGGGTTGACCCTTCCCCCTTCTCCTTGGGTAGGAGTTTCTTTACAGGGTTGTCAGTCCCGGCCTGGGCTTACCTGCTGGGTATAGCATGTGGGAAGCCACTTTGGAGGAGCACCTGATGGGGTGGGCAGGTTGGACGGGCTGAGTCCACAGGGTGATGCTGGGGCTCAATGAGTGGTACTAGCAAGGTGGAGAGAGAGTGTTTGGAAATTGTATCTGCCAGGGAACAAGAAAAATGATGCTTACTAGTGCTTCCATTCCCAGAGAAAGTTCCTCTTCTCCTCTGATACACACACTAAGATTAATACATCTCCTCCTGTATGGACCAAGTGCTTTTTTTTTTTTTTTTTTCTTTTTTTAGTGTTGTTTGTTTTTGAGAGAGAGTGCATGCACACAAGTCGGGAGGGGCAGAGAGAGAGAGGGGGAGACACAGAATCCAAAGCAGGCTCCAGGCTCTGAGCTGTCAGAGCCCTAGGTGGGGCTAGAACTCACAGGCCACGAGGTCATGACCTGACCTGAAGTCAGAGGTTTAATCAACAAGCCACCCAGGTGCCCCTGGACCAAGTGCTTTTGAAATCTGTTATCTTTGTGCTGTGTCTTGGAGTAAGATTGCTCACAAGCCCTTTAAGAGTAGAGTCTTGGGGCACCTGGTGGCTTAGTTGGTTAAGTGACTGGCTCTTGATTTCAGCTCAGGTCTCGAGCTCATGGTTGGTGAGTTTGAGCCCCACCTTGAGCTCTGTGCTGATGGTTTGGAGCCTGCTTGGGATTCTCCCTCTCCCTTTCCCATTGCCCTTCCCTGCTCGCGTGAGCACTATCTTTCTCTCTGTAAATAAACATTAAAAAAAAAACAAAACAGAGTCGAGTCTTGGTTTCCTAACCCTCCAGCTCTCCAGCTCTCCTGGAGTTCTGCTCCTTTTCTATGTCCTTTTCTGGTGGCTGGTCTTCCTGGTGCACATCTCCAGGGCAGGCAGGGCTGCTCGGTGTGGGCCTTGAACCCATGGCTACTCAGGGAAGACCTGTGCCTCGTGATGTCTCTTCCTCCTGTTGGTCACCGTGTTTAGGGCTTGGTTCCTGAGCCAACCTGGTCTTTGCCCCTCCTACCCTTATTTATGTGGCTTTTCCTTTATATCTTTAGCTCTGTTCTTCTAGGTCATCAGGCTGCTCTCAGAGGACCTGTTCTGTATTTAATTGCAGCCTTGGTGTATCTGTGGAAGGAGTGAACTCAGGATCCTCCTACTCCATCATCCTTCTCTCCTAGCTTTGATGCAGAAGAAATGTACATTAGTCCCTCTTCCCCCAAAGAAACCAAACAAGAAGGATACTTTTCTTAAAATAACCATTAGACCCTTAAAAACAGATTCCAAAGTTTTATTTCATTGTATTTGGTAAATTATAACATGCGTAATTGTTTTGAATTTAATTTAATTTTATTTTTTTCAACGTTTTTTTTTTTTTAATTTTATTTTTGGGACAGAGAGAGACAGAGCATGAACGGGGGAGGGGCAGAGAGAGAGGGAGACACAGAATCGGAAACAGGCTCCAGGCTCCGAGCCATCAGCCCAGAGCCTGACGCGGGGCTCGAACTCACGGACCGCGAGATCGTGACCTGGCTGAAATCGGACGCCTAACTGACTGCGCCACCCAGGCGCCCCTAATTTTATTTTAAAATAATTCATAGATACTGATTTTTCCCTGATGTATGATACACTTTTAAATTCTCAGGTAAGATTTATTACACAGCTATTGTATAGCTAAGAAGGAATTAAGATTCAGAGATTTTTACTGGCACTTTAATACGGCATACCATTAAGAAGTAGCACATTGTATTATAAACCAGAAATACCCCGAATTGAACCAACACTAGTGCAAATCCTGTTTGTAACATAGATTAATAAACACTGGTGTGGCAGAAATGGTGTAGGTATTTAAAATTTTTTCCTCCTAATTTTTTTAAATATTTACATATTATTATTATTTTTTTTTAATTTTTTTTTTCAACGTTTTTATTTATTTTTGGGACAGAGAGAGACAGAGCATGAACAGGGGAGGGGCAGAGAGAGAGGGAGACACAGAATCGGAAACAGGCTCCAGGCTCTGAGCCATCAGCCCAGAGCCTGACGCGGGGCTCGAACTCACGGACCGCGAGATCGCCGGACGCTTAACCGACTGCGCCACCCAGGCGCCCCTACATATTATTTTTTAATGTTTATGCTTGAGAGAGAGAGAAACAGAGTGTGAGTGGGGGAGGGGCTGAGAGCGAGGGAGACACAGAGTCTAAAGCAGGCCCCAGGCTCTGAGCTGTCAGCACTGAGCTGATGTGGACCTTGAACTCACAGACCCCGAGATCATGACTTGAGCCGAAGTTGAACTCCCAACCAACTGAGCCACCCAGGCGTCCCTCCTCCTAATTCTTTATATAATTTTATCCAACTTAGTCTTAAATAACTAATCTTCTACATCAGCAAAAGTTGGAAAAAATTGTAGAAATGTGAGCTTAGAATTATATAGCCTTTTATTTAACATGTTTACTATTTGGTAGAAAAGTTAGTAGGATTATTTTAGATAATATAACCTTCATTCATATTTACACTGAGATTAATTTCATTTATTGGTTACTTTGTATAATAACTGTGTATTCCAGTAAGTACTTTTCCTCTTGAATCTCCATGTGAAGAGGCATAAATTAGATTAGGTCTTGTCTTAACAGGTGGTTAAGAAATAACTGGCTAATGATAACTAGTGATAACCTATCACCCTTTGAGTCCATGACTTAACTGAAAAATTTTAGTAAGCCCCTTTTGCCAAATGGTATGAGCCCTGGTGCTAATGCATTTTATAAAACTATGCTGACAGGTAACATTGTTCAAATAATCATATATTTTTAATTTGTGGATTTTGTAATTTTAATATTTAAATAAATATTTAAAGTTTAGCTTAGGAAAGTTAACTTTGATGATTAGGACTACTCTATTGTTTAACCCATGGAGTCATTCCATTTATTCTGTACAGCTCCAAAGTACATAACTAGATTTTATTCACTTACCAAAATCTTTTCAGCCTCTGCTGTGTCAGTGCGTCCAGGCACTAGGAATACAGTGGTTTAGCCCATAGGACATGGTTTCTGCCTTCTTAGAATTTATAGTCTAATGGAGGATAGCAAATTAGGATAGGTTTAGTTGCCATAATAAAAAACTTAATGTGGCTTAGACAAGATAGAAATCTATTTCTCTCATGGAGTATCTGGATATGGCTCCATTGTTAAAGACTAGGCTTACTGCTTTTGCTATTTCCTGAGATGTTGCCTATTTTACCTTGTCCAGATGGCTCACTACCACTGTCTGCTTTCTAACCAGTAGAAAAGGGTGAAGGGATGGGCATGCCCCTTGCCTGTAAGAGTATAACTTAGAAGTCCAGTACCTTCCCTCTGTTCACATCCCATTGGCCTGAACTGAGTCATGTGGCCACACACCTTACTGCAAGGGAGTCTGGGAAATGTAGTCTTTATTCTGGATGGCCTTGTATCTAGGTAATGAGCGTTCTATTTCTACAGAAGGAAGAGAGAACAGATAGTGAGGGATAGCCTCTGTAACAGAGGAAACTGAAGTCAAAGTAATCACACAAGTTAAAATTGTAGCTGTGTAAGTACTACAAATGGAGACAGAATATGAAGGGGGAATTGATGTAAATAGGAAACTGAGGAAGTCTCTGAGAAAGTGAGAATATTGAAGAATACTATCAAAGAGGGTGGGAGGGGGATAGCTATAATAATGCTCAAATAACATTAATAAATAAAACTTATTGTATAACTATTAGGTGTCTAAGTGCTTGCCAGTTTATAACATTTTGCTAATGTCAGGATAACCGTGCATGGTAGTTCTTAGTAACTTCATTTTGCAAATGAGGAGGCTGAGGTTTCAGGAGAAGTGACTCATTTTGTAGCTGCTTTTAAGCAGGTATATATGCCAGGCACTGGGCTAATTCTTTACTTTCATTTTGTCATTTACTCCTTACAACAATCCTCAAAGTTAGGTCTGATTATTATCCTATTTTGCACTAGGAATGTAAGGTTTGGGCTTGACCAAAGTCACAGAGCTGGTAAGTGGCAAAGCCAGTACTCAAACCTAGATCTTTCTGTTTCCAAATCTTGTGCGCCTATCCTGCTTGCTGCCTTCTTATAATGCTTAACTGCCTTCAATATGAGCAGCATCTGGGGGCATCTAGGTGGCTCAGTCGGTGAAACATCCAACTTTGGCTCAGGTCATGATCTCATGGTTTGTAGGTTTGAGCCCCACATTGGGACATGTGCTGACAGCTCAGAGCCTGCAGCCTGCTTGGAATTTTGTGTCTCCCTCTCTCTCTGCCCCTCCCCTGTGTGTGCGTGCTCTTTCTCTCTCTCACAAATAAACATTAAAAAAAAATTTTTTTTTTAATTTTTTTTCAACATTTATTTATTTTTGGGACAGAGAGAGACACAGCATGAACGGGGGAGGGGCAGAGAGAGAGGGAGACACAGAATTGGAAACAGGCTCCAGGCTCTGAGCCATCAGCCCAGAGCCTGACGCGGGGCTCGAACTCACGGACCGCGAGATCGTGACCTGGCTGAAGTCGGACGCTCAACCGACTGCGCCACCCAGGCGCCCCCCAAAATTTTTTTTTTTTTAAATATCAGCAGCATCTAGCCCCAGAGGGCTATGTCCTTGGATGTAGATTTGGGCTCAATATGTGTGAGGAACTTCCTGAAAACTAAAACTATAAAAAAATAGAATTAGTGACTTTAAACTCATAGATGATATTTAAAGAGATGCTTAAAAAGAAATATTTTTACTGTGATTTTAGAGGATATTAATATATAAGGTAAATTGTTCGAATTTTATGAGGTCTTTACTCCTGAGAGCCTATGATTCTTTGAACATAAGTGTGTCATAATTTTTTTATTTTTTTATTAAAAAAAATTTTTTTTTTAACGTTTATTTATTTTTGAGACAGAGACAGAGCATGAATGGGGGAGGGTCAGAGAGAGAGGGAGACACAGAATCGGATGCAGGCTCCAGGCTCTGGGCCATCATCAGCCCAGAGCCCGACGCGGGGCTCGAACTCACAGACCGTGAGATCGTGACCTGAGCTGAAGTCGGACACTTAACCAACTGAGCCACCCAGGCGCCCCAAGTGTGTCATAATTTAAATACTATGTATATTTCTATACATCAGTAATTTGATGAAATTATTACACAGTAAGTATACAGATAATAAAATAAAAAAGATGAGTTTGAGTTGTACCACGGTATTTGAACTTTGCTCATGGAAAAATTTTAAAACAATTTGAAACATGAATTATTTTACTTGTATTTTTAGCATGTTTGTAAGGCACTTCAAGAACTATATAGGGTTAACTGTTCAGCCGAAGATGTTTTCAACTTGGATTCTAGCACCGAGGAAAAATTTAGCCGCCATCTAATATTTCAGCTCCATGATGCGGCATTTAAAGATAACATTCATGTTGGTAAGTACACCATTTTTTAAAAAGTCAAGGAATTCTATTAAAATTTCATATTTTCCTTTACCTCTTAAAGTTTTGTAAATACTTGCCAGGTTTTAGGGTTCTTACCTATCCTGAATAACGAAATGTGGCTTTTCACATCTTCAGGATCTCCTTTAGTTCTAGACCTACCTTCCTGTTCTAGACACATTTTAGACACATTAACCTCCTCAGGATATCCTTGGCATTAGTGCCTCTTGCTAGACATTTTGGGATGGCCGTCCCTTGCCTGGGACTGGTTTCTGCTACAACAGGAGTCCTTTCAGAACTTTTCTGGGTAATGCATTGGAGGCCTAATTCAGGTCTTATCCTTGATGCCTCAGATCTGTATCTGTCCTTCACTTCAGCCTTGCCTTAGTCTTCGTTTTCGGTACATGAGGATGAGGCTGGGGCTCCAGGCCACGTCCGAAGAGACTTTTTTATTGGTTGCTGCTCCAGGCGGACCCTCAAGATTGGGAAGGTGTCTACGTATGGAAGCCTGAGAGTGCAAGGGGGGTGTGTGTCTGGGACTGGATGTTTAGAGACACAGGCCCAGGTATAAAATGAAGTCAGTCTATAGAGGAACAAATTAGGCAGGGGGAAACACTGAAAACCAAGGTCTGAATAGAAGCCCCAGTCCTGAGTGTTTATCAAAGCAGCGATAGAGCTAGTATTTTGAGGTCTAAATGGCAGATGATTAACTGAAGTTCAAGTAATAGGTAATCTGTTTCAGAACTACAGGTGTCTGATAGTTTAGGGGCACCTAGAATAAAAGGCATGAACATAGTCACTCGAGGACTGGCATAGAAGTCAGGAACCTAACTCAGATTAGACCAAAGCTAGATCACGGTGACCTCGTTTGCTATGTCTGAGGGGCTCCTATTATCTCCCTGTTTTCCGTTGCATAGTTGGACATTCCATCTCTTTGTTTCAGCCCTCAGGTATTAATAATTGTAGAATCTATCCTTGTCCCTCTGTTCACTCTGTCCGTAACCTTGGCAATCATCTACTGTCATGGCTTTGATGACCATCTGTGTGTTGATGACTCTTAAGTCTTCATCTTCAGCCAAGATTGTCCTCTTTGATGCCAGACCCTATAAAGCCAGCTGCCTATTAAACATTCCCTTGTAGATATGTCACACCCATCATCCGTAAACCGGACTCCTCATTTTTTTCCTAAATTTGCCCTTTCTCCTGTGATACATGTACCAGTGAGTAGTATCTACCATCTACCCAACTACCCGAGTGAAAATGTTGGTGTCATCTTTGAGCTCTGTTTTCTCTCAGCATGCATACTTAGCAAGCTGGAGTGAGCTGATTCTACCACTTGGATGCTTCAGACCCTTCAAGGATTGCTCGATGCCATCAGGATGACTTCTAGATGTCTTCCTTTACACAGATCCCCACTGTGCTCTAGCCTTCTCTCATACCACGTGACCCTTGTAGTGTAAACCCTGACAGTGTTTGGTTTTGTTGTAATGCAACTGCCTGACTTAAGCTTTGATTCCTGAGGCTCGCATTTCAAAGTGGCATCCATTTCAAAGACCGCTATCTCAATAGCACTCCCCAGACTGAGACACTTTTGATTCAGAAATCTTGGTTGATTTCATTAACTGACATTTTGGGCCACTAGTTTTCTTTTCCTTGCTTTAAATTCCTGCTCTTTTATTTTTTACATTAAAAAAAAATGTTTATTCATTTATTTGAGAGAGAGCATGTGTGAGCAGGGGAGATGCAGAGAGAGAAGGAGAGAGAGAATTCCTAAGCAGGCTCCGCGCTGTCAGTATGGAGCCTGACATGGGGCTTGATCCCACAAACCCTGAGATCAAGAACTGAGCCAAAATCGAAGGTTGGACATTGAACTGATTGAGCCACCCAGGTGCCCCTGCTCTTATACTTTATATCCACTAACAAGGTGTGAGCCTGGGAAACCCTAGGCCTCTGACCCCAAGCCCACTAAAAGCAGAAACCCCTTGCCTGTGCATGCTTTCTCCACCTTGCCGTGTGGCCCCAGGTGTCGTGGGCAGTTTTCAGATCTTGAAAGTAATAGACCTTTATTTTTCTTCAAAGTTTCTTGATAGTTGTTACCGAAAGGCGTCTTGCAGTCGTAACAAGAACCCCAAGCCCAGTCCAAGCACCATTTGTTGTTGATGAAATGCTGAGACCGGCACAGAACAGCCCTTCTCACTCTGACCTTTACTTAGCTCCTGCGGGGGCCACATTTTCTCAAGTCCCTGTGCCTTTGCACATTTTGATGCTGCTGTCTGAAATGACATACTCCAATTATGTGGTCTCTTAAGACCCAGTGTAGATATCATCAGATGAGAAGCCATGCCTGTCACATCTCAAACGCTGAGACTCTGGGTTATGGACAGCCCAGTGCTTATCACATTCACCACTTCCTCATGTAATTTTCTGTCGTCTTTATGTTTCACTGAATGTTTCCTTAGGGCAGGGACTGCTTGTTTTTTTCTTTTTCTTTTTTTTAATTTATTTTGAGAGAGAGAGAGAGAGAGCGCGCACACGCATGCACACAAGTGGGGGAGGGGCAGAGGGAGAGAGAATCCCAAACAGGCTCCAGCTGTCAGCTTGGGGCCCGATGTGGGGCTTGAACTCACGAACTGTGAGATCATGACCTGAGCAGAAACCAAGAGTTGGACACTTAACCTACTGCACCACCCAGCGCCCCAAGGACTGTTTCTTATTCGCTGTTTATTTCCAGAGTTCGTACATAATCATATCTTTATCACTATTTGTAAGCTAGTAGTAGCCAGCCACAGCAATAAAACAGAAGTAGGCATTTGATAAGTATTTGCCGAATGAAAAACTATTCAGTGGGCTCTACGGTCAGGGTATGGGGGCAGAGCCTTCAGCAAGATATTTCCTTGATTCTGTGGACTCCTCATAGTCTGCTGCATGGCTCCCAGCCACAAGGCTAAAAGTGGAGATTGGTTGCTAGGGAAGAAGGGAGAGTAGAAATTTGTCAGGGAATTAGCAGTCGCTGCTACAGATGTCTTCTGAAAGCAGATTGCCTTCAAGCTGGCTTTAAACCTGATTCCGTGGCATAAACTAAGTAAAAAGTGCTTTACTGTCAGAACAGCATACACAAAAGTGTGGAGGTACCTTGGGGGAACAGAGGGGGTCTGAAGCTCCTTTTCTCTAAAATTATGAACCGCCAGAACCAGAGATGCAAGGATGAAGAAATTAGTCCAAAATTTGCCCTTCATTTCCCATCCCTCCATGGATGTTTTGGTGACGTTTCTAGTTCCTGTCGTCAGCCTTTCGTAAAGTAGAATTAGAGTGAGTGTAAAAGAGCACAGAATGTTCGCAAAATGTGTAAATTTGATCTGCCTAAACTACACCTCTGCCAGCCTGCCATAGGACCCGAAATTCCTATGATTGACACGTTCTTTCGAGGTATTCCCAGCCAGTAAAATTCCTGTCCCCATAGTAATGATGAGGGCGAGGGTGATAAGATTGGGGAAGGGAAGTAGAAAGCAGAGTAGTTGCTGGAAGCCTGTGTTGGAATTCATGCTGGTGATACTGTCCTTGTATCCTGGCCACGTTAGCTCCCTGCCAAAGGTTTTTAAAGGCCTACCTGGCCTGCTTAGCGCTCCCTTTGCAAGTCGTTCTAGAACCATGCCTTCTGTCAAGTAGATGTTATCTTACATTTCCAGGAACATTAACTTTATTAGTTTATGTTTGTACTGCTTTGTTGTTTTTTGATACATCGTGATTTCTTTTTACTCGGTGTTTACCCTTATTTGCCTCATTCCAGAGATAATCACATCTGTATATCATTGCAAGGATCAGATGCTTTTGCTTTCATTTTGATGTATAGCGTTTTATGAGCTACTGGATTTGTTTCATTGAGTAGAGAGTAAATCATTAATTTGGAGAAAGAGAATTTTGAAGTCAGAGCATGTGTGTTACACGATTTCAGGGTAAATAAAGTGACAAACCCAGACAATACCAATATTAGAAATTAAATTTTTTTTCTTAAAACACTGCCTTTCTCCAGTATTCATATACATGAAACACCTTAACCAAGTTATTGCTTGATTTTTATGGTGTAAATAACATACAAGAGTTAAAGAAGTTCTAGATTTGCCATATCATCTTTTCTAGGTAGAGATAGGACCGCTAATGGTTAGAGCTCTTTGTGGCACCTGGGTGGCTCAGTCGGTTAAGCATCCGACTGTTGATTTCCGCTCAGGTCATGCTCTCCTGGTTCGTTGGATCAAGCCCCATGTTGGGCTCTGCGCTGATAGCACAGAGCCTTCTTGGGATATTCTTTCTCTCTCTCTCTCAAAAAAAAATAAACTTAAAAAAATAGAGCCCTTAGAGTAAGTATTGAAATCTATGTATTTAATTGCTTTCGATCTGGACTTTACTTATGATGCCACAGCCCGTCCGGTGACCAGTTATAGGGAGAAGCCGGAGGAGCAACGACTTTGGAACCGCTGGCTGCAAATGTCACGATTCTTAGGGCATATCATGACAGGTAAAGGCGAGAGCGTGAGCTCCAGAGAAGTTTGCTGACATCCTGACTCAAGGGGAGTGCGGCCGAGGTTCTCGTGGTATTTCTGGGCATTATCTTGGCAGCATTGTTTATGCATAAAAACCTTCCTTCCATTCTTTAATCCGTCGACGGTCAAGATAAGTTTTACTCAATTTGTATTAGCAAAAGTGGTGCTGGGACACCTGGGTGGCTCAGTCAGTTAAGCGTCCGACTTTGGCTCAGATCGGGATCTCATGGTTGGTGGGTTTGAGTGGGGGTTGGTGGGGTTGGGCTCTGTGCTGACAGCTCAGAGACTGAATAAACATTAAAAAAGAGTTTTTAAAAAAAGTGGTGCTTTCTTGGTGACGGTACGTTAGGCTCAGGCTCATGCTAGCAACGTCAACACATCTTCTCAAACTGACCTTCCCTTCTAAGATGATCTGTTTATTGTGACCTCATGCTACCCTGTCGGTGGGAATCGAAAAAGTATAAAGATTGCATAAAGAGGAAGGAAGTAACAAGAGAAGCACGTTACAGTTGGTAATAACAACTCAGTTTTAAAACCAGAAGTAAAAAAAAAAGAAGCCTTACTGTATAAAATTGTCATGTGGAGATTTGTGCCTAGATCTTATACTTTGTGGAAAAGCAGAGTTAGATTAATCATAATACTTTTTTTTTTTTTTTTTTTTTTAGGTAATTTTGTGAGAAAAATATTGCAGCCTGCTTTTCACTTAATTGCCAGTGAAGACGATAGTATTTCAGAGAAAACGGGCCATGGGTTTTCCCATTTTTCTGAAACCCCAATTAAACAAGGAATTTCCTTTGGCAAAATGTCCCCAGATCAGGATGGAGGAGAGAGCTGGACGTTGAATTCAGAGGAACTGGAGAGGCTGGGGTCAGCTAAGCAAAGCAGTCCTGATCTTTCATTTTTAGTTGTGAGGAGTAACACAGGAGAAAAGCAACTTTTTGTAGACCTGGGTAAGTAAAGCTGGCAGCTGTCCGCTGGACTGTCCCCTTGTACTCCTCTGAGAGACCAGTCGGTGCCCACGTGTCACTCTGCTTGGGATTCTTCCTACTGCCACTGCTCCATGGTGACCGTAGAATCACCAGCAGACTGTGATCAGTGAGCTAAGGTGCTGGAACTCTGCCTGGCTTCCATTCAGAGATCGTAGAGAGGCCCCGTGGGACAAAAGCCCCAGACCGGCCTGAGTTCCAAAAAGAAAATGGTTGTGGCTGCCGCTACTTCTGAAACGTCTAGAGACTTGTGTCAGGAGAGTCTTAATAGGGGACAGTTGCCCCAGCACTCTCCAGCACCGGTGAGAAGTTTCATAAGATGAGATAAACATTAGAGCCCCTGGGTGGCTCAGTCAGTTAAGCGTCTGACTCTTGGTTTTGACTCTGGTCATGATCTCGCAGTTTCACGGGTTCGAGCCCTGCATCCGGCTCCACGCTGCCAGTGGAGAATCTGCTTCGGATTCTGTGTCTCCCTCCCTCTGTCTCTCTCTGTCCCTCCCCTACTTGCGCTGCCGTGTCTGTCTCTCTCAAAATAAGTAAATAAACTTAAAAAAAAAAGTTAAAAACAGACACAATATAAAAATGGTACTTTTATGTGGCAAAATGAGGCGGTTGTTTTCTCCACTGAAGAGCTTTGCCGTTAGTGGCAGCGGCCATTTCTTCAGCCGCCTCACTGTGGTCAAACTAGCAGCTGCTTTAACTGTGCTCTCTCCTACCCTACTTGCTTCTGGTCGGTGAACCTGAAGGTGTATGAAGCACGGGGCGAGACTGTAGTCTGTTTAGGTAACACATAGGCCGATCGGGACCCATTCAGCCAGCTCCAGTCTGATGAAAGAAGCCTCATTTAAAAAAAAATTTTTTTTTAATGTTGATTTATTTTTGAGAGACAGAGACAGAGTGCAAGCAGGGGAGGGGCCAAGAGAAAGGGAGACACAGAATCCGAAGCAGGCTCCAGGCTCTGAGCTGTCAGCACAGAGCCCGACAGGGGGCCCAAACCCACCAGCTGGGAGATCATGACCTGAGCCCAAGTCGGACACTTTGGTGACTGAGCCACCCAAGCTCATTTTTCTATTGTGGCCTCCGCTTGCGATTTGAAAGCCGTGAAGAGCACGTTTATGCGTTGCGTGTCAGAGCAACCGAGAGAGCTGCAGTGTCCACGGGCTGAGGGAAGTTAGGTTTAACTTGTAGGCAGGATTATCAAGGCAGCCAGGCCAAGAGGGGGGGCAGTGTCTTGATGCATTCCATATCTCTCTGGCTACCCTGACAGCCGAGCGCCCAAATTTGGAAATACAGTCAGATAAGGGCAATGCCCTGGTTCGGGTGTGAACAAGCACGAGTTAGGAGTAGAGGGGCATTCTTCCAAATGACAAGTTTTGTCTTGTTAGCAGACTGTTCTCTCCAGGTCATGCTAGCATGCAGTAAAATAGGGGAGACTGCCGAACAGGAAGTGACTCGGGGCGGGGCTGGGGGGTGGGGGTGCGGCATAGCTGATCTCTATGCTCCACCTCTACCCCAGTAAAAGACACAAACAGAATACCCCAGTTTGTGACAGCCTTAAAAGTTAGTTTCCTGAACTAGCAAGGAAATTTCTGTGATCTGCTTGAAAGAAATATTTCAGGCCTCTGCCTAGAATTATTGATGCAGCAAAGAGGACATTCCTTAAGGCATCTGTTGAAAGGTCAGAGATTTAATAGTAAGTTTTTGAGGAAACTTTTTTATTGAAGTAAAACATTCAGAGCCACGAGTGACTGGTGAGTGCCCAGGTCAATGGATTATCACAAAATGAACATACCCTTGTCACCACACCACCCTAGGCAAGAAATAGAAGGTTATTGGGATTCCCGAACCTCCTCTATGTTTCTTCTAGGAAGTACCCTTCCTCCTCCCCACAGGTAACCAGTAATCCATCCTCTAACACTGTAGATTAGTTTTGCCTATTTCCGAGCTTTTTAAAAAATGCTTATTTATTTTGAGGGCGAGAACACGCTCGATAGGGGAGGGGCAGAGAGAGAGGGGCAGGGAAAGAATCCTGTGAGTGGGGGCTCGAACTCACGAACTGTGAGATCATGACCTGAGCCAAAATCAAGAGTCAGATGCTTAACTGACTGAGCCGCCCAGGCACCCCTGAAATTTTTATTATTGGAATCATAGTACTTATGGCTTGCCTTTTCACTCTGTTATTGGTGTCTTTGATGAACAAAAGTACCTTTAAATAGTGGTAGTCTGATTTATCAAATGTTTTCCTCTTAGTGCTTCTTGTATCTTGTTAAATCTTTTGCTATCTCCACTTATGAAGATATGCTCCTAGTTACCTTCTAGAAGACTTATATTTTTACCTTTTATACTTAGATCTACAATTCACTTGGAATGGATTTTTGCTTATCGTGTGAAGAGGAGTCAAGATTGTGTTTTTTTTTCCTGTATGAACATCTGTTTGTCTCAACACTATTTGTTGAAATAACTGTCCTTTACCTAAAAGGACATCTTTGTCATAAGTCAAGCGTCTATCTATGATCTTTTTCTGGATTATGTTCTGCTCCATTGTTGTATTGATCTATTTTTGTGCCAGTACCACTACTATCTTAATGTTGCTTTTTTATTTATTTTTTTTAATTAAAAAATTTTTTTTATTAGAGAGTGTATGCTAGTGGAGGAGAGGGGGAGAGAGAGAATCTTAAGCAGGCTGCATGCTCAGTGCAGAGCCTGAGGTGGAGCTCGATCCCGCAACCCTGGGATCATGACGTGAGCCAAAATCAAAAGTCAGATGGATGCTCAACTGACTGAACCACCCAGGTGCCCCTTAATGTGCCTTCTTAAAAAGTCTTGCTGTCCAGTAGAATAAGTCCACCATCTTTGTTCTTTGAAATTTCTTGGCTGTTCTTGACCGTTTGCACTTCCATTTAAATTTTAAAATCACTCTATCGGGTTACGTGCGCGCGCGCACACACACACACAGAACTAGAATTTTGATTTAGTTTGGATTGAGTCTATTGATCAACATTGACATTTTTACAATATTTAGTGTTCCGATTCATGAGCGTGGTTTGTCATTCCACTAACATCAATGTTCTCTAATTTCTCTCTGTGTTTTATAATTTTCTGAATAGAGAACTTGTACTCTTGGATTTATTCTAGATATTTGAATTTTTTTTTTTTTTTTTTTTTTTTTTTTGCTTAAACAACAAACATTTATTTCTCACAGTAGCAAGATTGGGGTACCAGTGTGGGTGGCTTCTGGTGAAGGTCCTGTTCCTGGTGTACAGATCCCTGTCTTCTCATTGTAGCCTTCCATAGCGGAGAGAGAGCACTGCTTGATTTTTGGATGTCTCCCTTCTTTGAGATTTTGGCACTAGAAAACCTCACTGCGTTAGCAGGTCTTCAGTAGTCTCAAACTTTTTTTCCTAATGGATTTCCCCAGGTTTTCTATTTATTTACAATAGGAGGGTTACCCACAAATTGAACAGAATTCGATTTCTGTTTCTGGATGTGGCATTCTTCCAGGCCAACTCTACTCTATTTTAATTTATACATTGATTTTATTTTGTTTACAGCTGGTTGAAAATAATTCTTATTCTCATTTTTATTTTTGTTTACATGAAGGTGATTTTTTTTCACCCTCATTTTTTAAATTGAGGTATAACTGACATACCACATTTAATTAGTTCCAGGTGTATAACATAATGATCTGATATTTGCACATATTGCAAATTGATTACCACAGTAACTCTCATTAACCTCCATCACCATACATACAATAGAGTTGTTTTTCATATGATGGGAATTTCTAAGATGTACTCTCTTAGCAACTTTCAAATATGCAATATAGTGTTATTCACTATATTTGTCCTGCTGTACATTACATCCCCATGACTTATTTATAACTGAAGTTTGTGTCTTTAGACTCCCTTTATCCATTGGCCCACCCCTGCCTCCCCACTTCAAGCAACCATCAGTCTGTTCTCTGTATTTATTAGCTTTTTTTTTTTCTAACTTTTTAGATTCTGTATATAAGCAATATGGTATTTGTCCTTCCCTGTCTGACTTATTTCACTTAGCATAATGCCTTTAAGGTCCATCTATGTTGTTGCAAATGGCAGGATTTGTATTTTTTTTTAATGGTTAAATATTCCGTTTCATAGACGTGCAGATTGTTTCCATATCTTGGCTATTGTAGATAATGCTGCAGTGAACATGGTGACCACATATCTTTTTGAATTAGTTTTGATTTTCTTCAGATAAATACCCAGAAGTGGAATTACTGGATCATACGGCAGTTCTATTTTTAATGTTTTGAGGAACTTCCATACTGTTTCCCACAGTGGCTGCACCAATTTACATTCCCACCAACAGTGCATGAAGGTTCCCTTTTCTCCACAGCCTCACCAACACTTGTTATTTCTTGTCTTTTTGAGACTAGCCATTTTGACAGGTGTGAGGCGGTATCTCATTGTGGTTTTGATTTGCATTTCCCTGATATTAGGGATGTTGCACATCTATTTATGTGGCCATCTGTATGTCTTTTTATGGAGAAACGTGGATTCAAATTCTGCCCACTTTATTTTATTATTTATTTAATTTTTTAATTATTTAAAATATAATTTATTGTCAAATTGGCTTCCATACAACACCCAGTGCTCATCCCAATGGGTGCCCTCCTCAATGCCCATCACCCACTTTCCCTCTCCCCCATCCCCCATCAACCCCCAGTTTATTCTCAGTTTTTAAGAGTCTCTTATGGTTTGCCTCCCTCCCTCTCTGTAACTTTTTTTTCCCCCTTCCCTTCCCCCATGGTCTTCTGTTAAATTTCTCAAGATCCACATATGAGTAAAAACATGAATCTGTCCTTCTCTGACTCATTTCACTTAGCATAATACCCTCCAGTTCCATCCATGTTGCTGCACGTGGCCAGATTTCATTTTTTCCATTGCCAAGTAGTATTCCATTGTATATATAAGTCACATCTT